TGAGGGTTTTTTTTTTTTTTGTCAACAAATAACATACATCTTTAAAAAATTATTTTGGCAGTTGAATTAAATGCAAGGAACCATGAAAAGCACATAGGCTCTCAGATGGTGCTCAGCAAACATTTGCTTCCTTCCCAGTCCCACTGCACTTGTTCAACGTGCTTGTTAGTGCATGTGAGCACACACTCGAGCACACACACACACACACACACACACACACACTCGTGCACACACACACACACACACACACTCGTGCACACATGCATGCTCACAAATAGTCCTCAGGAGCTAATCTACTTTGAAAGAAACAAAAACATAATAGTACATTAAAGATATTACTTCCTGAGCCTTATAACTATTTTTTCCTTAATAGTTAGTTAACCTCTCCATATGAGCTCAATTTTCATAACTCAAGAGGCTTGTGAGTTAGGCCTTGAAAAACGGGTGGCAACCAGTCTGAAAGCCAGGAGAGAAGAAAGCCCACTTGGCAGAGAAATAGCACAAGTGAGGATTCCACACCGGGATCATTTCAGAAAACTGCATTATCCGGTGAGCTAGAGTGAGGCTGAGTCGGGGAAATCGGGGCACGCCAGAAGGTGCCAAGGCATTTGGACTTCCTGCAGGTCACGAAGCCTCCCAGGACGCTTTCATCAGAATGGTGACAGGAACAGATGCGCCTTAGAAAGCAGACTGTGGCAGCAGCGGGGAGGATAAACGAGAGGTGGCGTGAAGGGCAAGAGAGACAGAAAGCAAGACCAGTCAGAGCTATCGATTCCAGATGAGAGATAATGAGGACGGGCACTGGAGAACGGGTAACGGCCATGGCAAGACGCCAGCGGGCTCTGGGGACGTTAAAGGGTAGAGCTGACAGGGTTTAGTGACTGATTAGATGGGGGCGGGTAGGAAGAGAGGAATGGGAAGTGATTATAAGCTCCTACCTTGGAAAACTAGGCAGACACGGATGGCATTTAGAAATGACAGGCAGTAAGAAACCGCTTTCTCTTCCTTTCCACAGCTGCCGCCCTGGACACTGTTCGAAGGACTCAACTCTCCCCAGCTCCCACTTGACAGAGTCTTGTATAACTCAATTCAACAAAGCTGGGAGTAAGTGGAACACCCCAGTAGCTCAGTGATGTTAGTTACTCCTGCCCATCTTTGCTTGGGTCCATGAAACCCCTGGAAAATAAGAGCAGTAAGAAATAGTCCCAGTCCCTACAGAGCTCATGGTCTAGCTGGCATGCTCACACACTGAAACTACAGTACAAGATGACCAGCCCTGTAAAACAGGAGTACTGTAGCAGAAAAAGCTTTGCAAAGGTCACCCTTAAATGAGACATGAACTGGTGAGAGACACAGGCAGGGCATTTAACCACGGGGGCAGCAGATGTTCTAGAAGCATGAAGAGATGGTAAAACTTAGGAAGGTGGTCGGGATGAGGTAGATGGAGCAGAACAGCAAAGAGCCGATCATAAAAGGCCGTGGGAAGAGCACTGCTTAGGTGGGAGAATGCTCGCCTAGCATGCACAAAGCCCGGGGTTTAAGCATCAGAATGCATAAACCTGGCATGGGCCACATACCTGTAATCCCAGCACACAAGGGGTAGAGGCAGGAGGATCTGGAGACAAGATGATCCTTGGCGATAGTGAGTTCAAGGCCAAGCTAAGCTACATGAGGCTGCCTCAGAAAGTGTTTTTTAAAGGTCATGTTTATGGGGCTGGAGAGATGGCTCAGAGTACTGGTTCCTCTTCCAGAGGATCCAGGTCCAAGTCCCAGCACCCACGTGGCAGCTCATAACTGTCTATAACTCCAGTTCCAGGGGATCTGACACCTTCATGCCGATTCACATACAAATAAAGTTAAATAAATTACAATGTTTATTTTTTCATGTTTATTTTTTATTTTTTATTTTTTTTTCGTTTTTCGAGACAGGGTTTCTCTGTGTAGCTTTGCGCCTCTCCTGGAACTCACTTGGTAGCCCAGACTGGCCTCGAACTCACAGAGATCCGCCTGGCTCTGCCTCCCGAGTGCTGGGATTAAAGGCGTGCGCCACCACCGCCCAGCCCATGTTTATTTTTTAAAGGTATGGTCTTAGATAGGGTTTCTAGTGCTGTAAAGAGACACCATAACCATGGCAACCATTATAAAGGAAAACATTTAATTGTGGTGGCTTGTTTACAGTTCAGAGGTTTAGTCCATTATTGTCATGGCAAGAAGCAAGGCAGCATGCAGGTAGACATGGTGCTGGAGCTGAGAGTCCTTACATCTTGATCCAAAGGCAAGGGAAATTGATCTGAACCACTGGGCGTGACTTGAGCATACATGAGACCTCAAGGCCCGCCTCCACAGTGACACACTTCCTCCAATAGGATCACGCCTACTCCAACAAAGCCACACCTCCTAATAGTGCCATGCCTTATGAGCTTATGTGGGCCAATTACAGTCAAACAACCACAGGTATGTTTGGTCATTGAGTGCTTTTAAGCAGGAAAGTTTTTCAGCCACTGGTATTTATCTAGTATTAAAGGAAAGCAGATAATATCTCACTGCCTATCCATCCCACGTTCTACACTAGCTTTATCCAGACCAAGAGTGGGTGAACTATGTACACATTTTATCCCAACCACTGAACTGTGAGCTACAATCACCTCTTCACCAGTCGCCTGTGTCTGGCTATGACTTCCTTCAAGGCAGAACTTTGACCACCTTTATTCCCCGAGCCTATCTGAATACACAACCAAAGTTGGCACCTAGTGTCCACTCTATGAATGATCACTGAACAATTTTTTTTTTTCCTGCACTTCTGGCCTTCTAGAACCCAGTGGATCATCATCTTCTGTTCACCATAGCTAAACGTTCACCAGAGGAAGGAGTGACGGAAGTCCCAGAAGATCGGGGTTCTAGTGCTCCCCAATGTACTGGCTTGGACACTGAACAAGACATATGTATTTTTAGTAATTCATTAATTCATTTATTTGGGCGGGCATACATGCTGCCGTGCATGTGTGGAGGTCAGAGGGCAGCTTTCACAAATCAGTTCTCTTTGTAGTGTGTGGGTGCTGAGGACCAAACTCTGGTCAAAGGAGCGACACTTACTACACAAATGAAATTTTCCCATGCAATCAGCCATCTTCATGCAGCATTAAGAAAAACTCGCAAAATAATTAAAGAAAAAAAATAGGCTGGGCCGTGGTGGTGCACGCCTTTAATCGCACCACTCAGGAGGCAGAGGCAGGTGGATCTCTGTGAGTTCGAGGCCAGCCTGATCTACAGAGTGAGTTCCAGGAAAGGCGCAAAGCTGCACAGAGAAGCCCTGTCTCGAAAAACCAAAAAATAAAAATAAAAAATAAAATAAAATAAAATAAATGGAACCGGAAGTGCTGGGGTCCAACTCTGGCCTTGCATTAACCAGTTCTTTAGTTTTGGAAAGTCACTTTTATTCTGAGTAGAATTTTTTTAACCTGTAAAACAAACATAGGAGCATCCTCTACCCAAGCTCCCACCCACCCTCATTGTAAAAACCACAGTATTTTTATGGAACTTAATGGGGTCTCACATAACATTTTATTAGTAGAACACATTTCCGATATTACTGGTAACTCTTCAAAAGCAGAGTATTTGACTCATCTATTACCATATTTGACACATGGCCGGGATCTATAAATAACTGCCAAAAGAATAGAAAGCAAAGAATGTTAAAATTTTCCTTTGTGAAATGAACTGAACTTCAAATATTCATGCTGCAAATTATTTTAAATAGTCACTGTAAGTGTCGTTTCATTTTAGATAGCAGACATAGCAATTAGCAGAGTGTCTGTACAGCCAGAAACATTACCATTCAGTCTGGTTTTTATTCAGGATAATGAATATGAATGCGCTTTGACTAAATGGATGGTTCTGCTACAGCAGGGCTGAATGCATGCTCATGCTATTGTGAGACGTCTGACCCAGGCAGAAGACATGTGCTTCGATCAATGGAACACTAGCTTTTGAATGACCTCCCACCCCATTCAACACAACAGAGAAAAGTGCTATGTAAATGAAGGCACACACCAAACTTCCACTGATTAGTGCTGGGTAGTGGTGGCACTCGCCTTTAATCCCAGCCCTCAGGAGGCAGAGGCAGGAAGATCTCTGAGTTCAAGGTCAGCCTGGTCTATAGAGTGAGTCCCAGGGCAGCCAGAGCTGCATAGTGAGACCCTGTCTTGAAAAACAAAAAATAAATAAAAAAAACAAAACAACAAAAAAATCAGCTAATGTATGGCGGGGATACAGAAGTACAAATCTACCCAGCCTGAGCCAGACATTTGAAGTATCTGTTATTTTGTGAACATAACTACTGACTTACTAGGTCAAGATGAAAAGGAATTTATAAAAACAGGAAGTCAAATAATTTTTATATAAATCCAAGTTCCTTGCATGCATCCTCACAAACACACACACACACACACACACACACACACACACACACCTGACCATAAAACTAGCTATACTACTCTCAGGTCCACCCAAATTAGAAAAATGAAATCATGGCATTTGCAAGGAAAAGGAACTAGAAATTATGTTTTCTCTCATAATGCAGGGCCTAAATTTTAACTATGTATGTGAGTGGGTGGGAATAGGTCATGAGAAAGGAAGGGAACCATAATGAGGGAAAGAGCTTCAAGGTTCTGAGGGGGAGAAAAAGAGGGCAGTAGAAATGTGACATGAGGGCCAGGCGTAGTACTGCATATCTTTAATTCCAGTATTTGGGAAGCAGAGGCAGGTGGATCTCTGGGGGTTCAAGGACAGCCTGGTCTACAGAGTGAGTCCCAGGACAGCCAGAGCTGCATAGTGAGACCATTTCAAAAGATCAAAAAGCTTAATAAAAATAAATGTGACATGAAGGTAGAAGGGCCACTAGAGAGGAGGAGACCAGCCGCAGGGGTAGGGGAGAAAGAGCCACAAGAAAGGACATATGAATACCGTAATGAAACCCATTTCTTTGATGCACATTTAAGAAGGCTTAATAAAAGCAAACACCGACTCCTCAGCAACTTCTGAATGAAGAGAATTTAAGGAAACAAGAGGAGTCTGTGCAGAAGCAGGAGGCCATGCGTCGAGCCACTGTGGAGCGAGAGATGGAGTTGCGGCATAAGAATGAGATGTTGCGGGTAGAAGCTGAGGCCCGAGCACGGGCCAAGGCTGATCGAGAGAATGCAGACATAATCCGAGAACAGATTCGCCTCAAGGCTGCTGAACACCGCCAGACCATCTTGGAGTCTATCAAGACAGCTGGCACCTTGTTTGGTGAAGGATTCCGTGCCTTTGTGACAGACTGGGACAAAGTGACAGCCACGGTGACTGGATTGACACTGCTGGCTGTTGGAGTCTACTCTGCTAAGAATGCTACTGCTGTTGCTGGTCGGTATATTGAGGCACGCTTGGGAAAGCCCTGCCTGGTGAGGGAGACCTCCCGCATCTCAGTGCTGGAGGCACTGAGGCATCCCATCCAGGTCAGCAGACGACTGGTCAGCAGACCCCAGGACGCACTGGAGGGTGTCATCCTCAGCCCTAGCCTGGAGGCACGGGTACGAGATATTGCCATCGCAACAAGAATTACCAAGAAGAACAAAAGCCTGTATAGAAATGTTCTAATGTATGGACCACCAGGGACTGGCAAGATACTGTTTGCCAAGAAACTTGCACTGCATTCAGGCATGGACTACGCCATCATGACAGGTGGGGACGTGGCCCCCATGGGGCGGGAGGGTGTGACCGCCATGCACAAAGTCTTCGACTGGGCAAGCACGACGAGGCCTCCTGCTCTTTGTGGAGGAAGCAGATGCCTTCCTCAGGAAGAGAGCAACTGAAAAGGTAAGTGAAGACCTCGGGGCCACTCTGAATGCATTCCTACACAGGACAGGACAGCATAGCAGTAAATTCATGCTGGCCCTGGCCAGTAACCAACCTGAGCAGTTTGACTGGGCCATCAATGACCGTATTGACGAGATGGTCTGCTTTGCCCTGCCACAGCGGGAGGAGTGAGAGCGCCTGGTGAGAATGTATTTTGACAAGTATGTCCTTAAGCCAGCCACAGAAGGAAAGCAACGCTTGAAGGTGGCCCAGTTTGACTATGGAAAGAAGTGCTCAGAGGTTGCCCAGCTGACGGAGGGGATGTCAGGCCGGGAGATTGCTCAGCTTGCTGTGGCATGGCAGGCCATGGCATATGCCTCTGAGGATGGGGTCCTCACAGAGGCCATGATGGACGCCGGTGTCCAGGATGCTGTTCAGCAGCACCAGCAGAAGATGCAGTGGCTTAAAGTAGAGAGACCCAATCTTGAGACAAGCAAGCCACCGTGTCCTTGACTCCTCAACTGCTGAGCTGGACCTGGACACCTTGTACACCTGACCGGGGACAGACAGTCTCTGTGACCACACTATTCCTCCCTTTTTTTTCCTGTCTTCTTTGGCCTCTGTAAGAGGCCAACACTGTCCGGAACGCCTTTGCCCAGCTGTGGGATGCTGGTGGTGTCAGCTTCTCTGGCTCCCGCACCTCCTAGTCTGTTTCTCTCTGCGTGAGTGCTGGCAGAGGAAGGTACACTGCCTTACTGCGCCCAAGTACACTGGTGAGACTTGTCTACAAGCGCAGATCAGAGAAGAGAGGAAGCAGAGTGCTGTATCACAGGCCAGTAGCTATGGCCAGGCCAGCAGGACTGGGACCTGCAGGGACCAGACCAAAGGCAGGAAGGGCCTCTCCTTCCTGGACATTGCACCTGCCCTGTGTACATCTGTGCCAAGAATTGGCCCAGTCCTTACTTGATAAGAGTGGATCTGGTGCTAGACAGCCCCTGGCCGGTGGCATCCAGGATTCAGAGCTGCCACCTTCCCCTTGACTGGACCTTTTAAATCCAGAATCTAATAAAACTGTGACTGATTTGCAATAAATAAATAAATAAATAAATAAATAAATAAATAAATAAATAAAAGCAAACACCTACAAAGCTTTAAGGCTGGGTCTACTTTGGAACTCTAGAATAATCTGTTCCTCTCATCCCACCATCTAATATGTGTGTGCATACATGTACATATAATATACACATAATTCCAATTCAATCCTTTTCCGTGCAAATGACATGACTTTTTTACAGCTGAATAAAACTCAGGGGTGTGTATCACATTTTCTTTATTCACTGGTCATATTTCTTATATAATTGTAAATTGTGCAGCAATAAACATAAATTGACAAGGATCTCTGGAAGAACTTAAGTTCGACTTTGGGCTGGTCCACATGGTAGTTTTGCTTTTTTGAGAAACCACGGATTCCCACAGTAGCTGTCCCAGTTCACTCTCAGCTGCAGCTTACATCCTCACTCTTGGTTAAGCGGCGGACGGTGGCCATGCCAACAGAGGAGAGTGCTGGATGTATCGGTGACGGAAGAGTCACGAGCCATAGTTACCTTTCTAGAGCTTTATTGAGAGAGAAAGGGAGGGAGAGAGAGAGAGAGAGAGAGAGAGAGAGAGAGAGAGAGAGAGAGAGAGAGAGAGAAAGAGAGAGAGAGAAAGAGAGAGAGAGAGACCTCGTGGAGAGGGGGAGAATATGGAAGGAGAGAGTGTGGAGAGAACACAGAGACCACGTGCGATTTTTAGGCTGGGAGCCGTCGCAGGCTAGTGACGTAATTAAGGACATAATCCTTACATTCACCTGGGTTCATCTTTTCAACTTTAGCCATTCTGACTAGAGTGAAGGCGAACTTCGAGAGTAGTTTTAACCTGCATTTCCCTTTAAGTGTTTATTGTCAATTTGCTTCTTCAAGAACTGCTATTCAGTTCACTTGTCCATTTACTAACTGTAAGACTAGAGAGTGTTTTAGTGTTTTTCTTCTTTACATATTTACCTCCAATATTTAGTAGCTTGTTCTGTGCTAGCTAAGAATGCTGGGCGAATTAATTCAATTTTTTTCAAAACAGGGACTCACTATGTAGCTCTGGCTGTTCTGGAACTCACTACGTAGACCAGACTGGCCTTGAACTCACAGAGACCTGCTAGCCTCTGCCTTCCAAGTGCTAGGACTAAAGGTGTGCACCACTGTGGAGTCCCACAAAGGTTTCCCAGTGAGATCTGAGCTTGCTTTACCCAGCAGAGCTGCATTAGAGGATTGCTTGACCATGTGCGTGGTTACCAGGTGTTTGGAAGGGTCTGCACTTGGCTGTGCTGGGGGGAGGAGGTCTTTTGCTCCACACCTTGGCATTCCTTTAAAAAGCCCTTTAGAAGAGACAAAAGGGGCCAATAGTTAAGGATCCAGTCCCTCCGAGGCTATCCTGTGTTTCTATCTATTTCTCTCCCCTCTGTATCTCTATCTAAAAAAATCTCTTATCCCTCACTCAAGAGTACCCTGGGGAAAAAAAGTGGGGGCGGATCCCCCCACACCATTATGCCCAGCTTAATTTAACTCTTACCAAGCAATTCTCTGATTATATTTTCATCCCCATTTTACAGATGGAAAACCATGTATCTAGATGTGAAGATATTGTTCAAGATCTAAACCTAGGCTGTATGATCCGGGCTCTCTTAATCAGCCTAGGACACTTTTCTAACTATATGAATGTCCATTCTTTTAACTATGCGATTTCACATTGCAATGTACAGTGTGGTTTGTCCTCATCCTAGTCAGAATGACTACAGTCAAGAAAACTAACCCAGGTGAGGAAGAAAACTGCTAGGAGAGTAAACTGGAGCGGCTACCAGGCGAGTCTGTATGGTGGTTTCTCAAAAGAGGGGCGGGGGCGGGGGTAGGGGTGGGGGGGAGGGGGGGAGAGAGAGGTGAGGGGGAGAACAGAACAAGAGAAATGGGTAGAGGTGGCCTGGTGGTTAAAAGCACTTGCTGTTCTTCCAGAGGACACGGGCTCATTTCCCATCACCTTACAACTGTTATGCCCAGATCGCGGGGACCCCCAAAAGACCACCACGGAGACTGAATCCCGCATGTAAAAGCAAAGAGCCTTTATTTCAAGCTCCAGAGCTTGGTCCCTCTGTCTGTCCGACACAGCGGTGAGAGCAGAGAGCCCTGAGCTCAGGTTGGGCAGAGTTTTTATCATAGCAGAGGTTGGGGTGAGGGGATTTCCAGGGTCCAGGACCCTGATTGGCTGCCAATTGTGTAGGGGTATCTGTAGGTGTGTGCTAGTCTCAAGGACATCTGGCCACCTTATCTAATGGTTGGAATGTTTGGGATGTCAGGTACTTTCTCATCCCTGTGTGGATCCCTGGGTGGTATCAGCTTAAGGCTTTTCCTGGATCTGGGTGTTGCCTGCCAGTAAGCCTGTCACAGAAGCTGTGTCTAGGCCACTAAGCCTGTCATGGCTGCTGTGTGGTCAAGCTATTTTGGGGCCCCTTTACAACAACCATTTGTAACTCCATTTCCAGAGGATCCAACATCATCTTCTGGACTCTGAGGAGTACCAAGCACACACATGGTAGATATACATGTTTGAAAAACTCATATACATAGAACAAACAGTTAAACACACACACACACACACACACACACACACACACACACACACACACACACACACACACGGTACAGTTGAAGAACTACCCCTTATACAAATACACATCAGGAAGGTCAAACTCCCAGAGTTAAGTGTTGAGTCCCATTAATTTTGCAGAAATCATCTGCTAGGTCTGGTCACTGGAAAATCTAAAACACAGTGAAAATAGCAGGTTATTTTAGTCACAAGAATTCAGTTAAAATTCTAGTTCTGTCATTTATTACCAAGCCATTTAATCTTTAAAACTTTGCTCATCTATAAAACAAGTACAACTAAATACAAATACCAAATCTGAAGTGTTGTCATAAACATTAAGCTGTGGCAGAGTAATACCCTAAATTGATTAACCATGAAAAACCATTAACACAATACAAAATCAATTAAGCAACTATTGTCACTGAGTGAGGAAAGGATGGATATTAAATTTTCTCTCATCTATAAAGTTTGCCATAAAACACAAGGATGATGAATTTGTTTTCTAGTCAAGCAGTGGTGGCACACCCCTTTAATGCCAGCACTTGGGAGGCAGAGGCAGCAGAGCTCTGAGTTTGAGGCCAGCCTGGTCTACTAAGTAAGTTCCAGGACAGCCAGGGCTACACAGTAAAGCCCTGTCTGGGGGGGGGGGGGGGGGGGGGGGGGGGGGGGGCGTTCTTAAGAGAGAGACAGAATTGTTCACAAAAGTATGTGTTCAACAGTTATGAAAGGGAAGGTTCTTAGTTGCCAATTGTTTTTGACTAGGAAAAGTAATGGTTATATGGCTCATGTTTAAAGGGGGGAGGGGGGAAGTCAGGTACGGTGACATCTACTTAGAATCCCAATGCTGTCAAAACAGAGACAGGCAGAGCTGGGCAGTGGTGGTGCACACCTTTAACTCCAGCCCTTGGGAGGCAGAGGCAGGCGAATCTCTGTGAGTTCGAGGCCAGCCTGGTCTACAGAGTGAGTTCCAGGAAAGGTGCAAAGCTACATAGAGAAACCCTGTCTTGAAAAAAACAAAAAACAAAAAACCAGACTGTCAACCTAGCCAACCTGGCCAGCTCCAAAAAATAAAAATACAAAAAAAAAAAAAAAAAAAAAAGAACAGGGTTGGGGATTTAGCTCAGTGGTAGAGCGCTTGCCTAGCAAGCACAAGGCCCTGGGTTCGGTCCTCAGCTCCGGAAAAAAAAAATACAATCAAGTGGATGGTGCTTGTGGAATGATAACCAAGGCTGATGCACACTTGCGCGCGCATGCATGCATGCATGCATACACACACACACACACACACACACGGGTACACACACAATAGTAAAGCATGAGGGTAATGACAAGAGATTTCATTTAAACACCACCACAAGTAGAATTTTTTATAGTTTTCTTTTCTACACCACAAGTAGAATTTTTTTATAGTTTTCTTTTCTACTCACAGCACAGATGGCGAGAGTTGGTAATATAACAGTGATGTCAAAAACAAAACAATATATTCAGCCATAAATTAACTAAAGGACAAGTTTTACACAACTTATCAAACATTATTACATTACTTATAAAACCCGGATGGTGAGAAGTCAGTAACTGCGATCCACGGTTTTAAGAGTTCTTTTGCTGAGTTGGCAGTAGTGGATGATTATCACAGCTTTTCCAAAGAAACTAATCCAAACAACCAGCACACCTGTTAATCCCAGTACTTGGGAGGTAGATTCAAGAGGCTAAGGAGTTCAAGGCCAGCCTCTTTACATAGCAAGTTTGAAGGCAGCCTGGGTTACAGGAGACCCTATCTCTTACAGCAACAACAACAAAACAAAACAAAGACAATAATGAACCTAACCCAGGGAATTTAACTTGAGGCCTTTAAGGTCATTTTGGAGACATCAAAAAAGCAGCTACAGAAGAAAATACAGTGCTCTGTTTAGAACACTATCTGGAGAACATTCTTCTTAATCTAATAACTAATGCTTGTCTGTAAATCAGTCTTATCAGTTTTACACAGTGATGCTGTAGCATGGACCTGAACTCTCCTCACAAAGGCCCATGTAGCAAAAGCTTGCTCCCTTACCTGTGGCACTATTGGGAAGCTGTGGAAACTAGGTCATGCCCAAAGGGAGACTTTAAGGCATTGGGGAGCCCTCAAAGGGAACTAAAAACCCCTGTCTCTTCCTATCTTCTGCACAAATGAGGAGAATCATTTGTCTTAGCATGTTCTCCCTGCCACAATATGCTACCTCGTTACAGGCCTGAAGCAACAGGGCCAACCAATCTCGAACTGAAACTTCTAAATCCATGGCTCCAAATAAGCCCTTTCTCTCTACAAGCTGATTTACACGAGGCCTTTGCTACAGTGACAGAAAGATAATGTAGGTAGTATAGGAACAAGAGAATTATGCAGAAAATAAGGCAAAGAGATACACAATTTTAAGGAATTACTCAAGGACTAATAAGGAAACAACAGGTATCATCAATGAAAAGCAGCCAAAGCGATCCACAGCTCAGCTGCTGCCAAGGCTGCCAACCCAAGTTTGATCCCCAGGGCCAGCACAGTGGAAAGAGGAAAGCTAACTGCCACAAGTTTTCCTCTGACGTCACAGATGCATCTGCCCTCCACACACAGGCCATGATACTTGCGCCTCGTCCCCAAATAAAAATTTAAAAAGCCGCAAAGCAAAAGTAAAATCCAGGCCAGGCAGCAGGGGCGCACACCTTTAATCCCAGCACTCGGGAGACAGAGCCAGGTGGATCTCTGTTAGTTCGAGGCCAGCCTGGTCTACAGAGCAAGATCCAGGACAGGCACCAAAACTATACAGAGAAACCCTGTCTCGAAAAACAAACAACCACAAAAAAAGGTAAAATCCATGAGACCAAATCAAGTCATTTCTCCAATTAACTTATTAAATGTTTTGCAACAGGGAGCTAGAGAGTTGGCTCAGTGGTTAAGAGTACCGCCTGCTCTTCCAGAGGAATCTGGTTTGATTCCTAGCACCCACATGGTGGCTCAAAACCATCTGTAACTCTAGTTCTAGGAAATTCAGTGCCCTCTTCTGGGTACTTTGGGCACATGATACACAGACATACATGCAAAACAACAATACACATAAAACAAGTATTAAAAAAATAAATGTTTTGCAGCAAATAAACTGCATCTCTTAAGAAACACTTGCATTTCTTTGATAAAGAATTTCTGAGCCAGGCACAGTGACACAGGACTGTGATCTCAGCCCTTGGGAGGTAGAGGCATAAGGATCAGGAGGCTGAGGTTATCTTGGACTATAAAGTAAGTCTGAGGCCAGCCTGGACTAAGATTGTCTAACAACAAAAGAAGTCAGGCCTATACAAACACCTGCAGTATACTTTCCTTCCTCAAATTTTCCCTTCAAAAATTCACTTGGAGTTGGATACATAGCTCAGTGGCAGAGTATTTGCCTAGAATGCTGAGGCCCTGGTTTTAATGCCCATAGTAATAATTTTTAAAGGGTCATGTACCATACTTGGAACGCCACTAAGCTGTCTTAAACAATGGGCTCTTGAGTTATGAGCTCGGGAGCAATAGGAAACTTGACCGGCCTATAAATACTTTATCCTCAGAGGCTTTTTAGGCTTGCCTTGACATTAAAAAAAAAACAACAAAATAAAAAACAAAAACAAAGCCGGGCGGTGGTGGCGCACGCCTTTAATCCCAGCACTCGGGAGGCAGAGCCAGGCGGATCTCTGTGAGTTCGAGGCCAGCCTGGACTACCAAGTGAGTTCCAGGAAAGGCGCAAAGCTACACAGAGAAACCCTGTCTCGAAAAACCAAAAAAAAAACAAAAACAAAAACAAAAACCCCTACTTTTCTAGAGCAATATTTGTTTTCAGGAATTTGTGGTTGCTGTTATTTTTAACTCTGAAAAAACAATTTACTAGGTTTTGAAATCATGATCACAAAACCACACTCATCTACTGACTAACTGTTTGGAAGCCCTCAACTTAGATGGGCTCTATCTTTCCTAAAAATAGTCTAGGACGCTTATTCATACAGTTGAGAAAGCAGCCCCCTCCCCAAGAAATGTTACAGCGGTAAGTAAAAAGACTTGCCCACCAAAGCCTCATTTCTGCAATCCCTCACGTCCCTTGCAGCCTCTTCATCTAGACCAAAGGATGTCCTAAGGATGCCCTTACGCTTTCCAGGAGTCTGCCTGCCTTCCCGTCACGGAATTTTCAGAGTGTGGGATTTAAAGTGGGAGATGCCTTATGAACAATATAACAATTTAGGTGATAAAAACCAGACTAGAGCAAATGGAATTTTACCAAAACTTGTAGGTTTTATCACCTAAATTCTACTACTTTTAAAACAGACAATACTCAGCTTAAACCCTAGATGAAAATCTTTTTAGCAATTAGAAAAAGGATAAGTATATAAATATCATAAGTGTCAATTTCTTTTTTAAAAACTCGGGTCTAAAGATGGATGAGTTTAAATTTAATCTTTTTGTGTAAAATGAATACCAATGGTACTATCGCTGAAAAACTGAATTACAAAACAAATACATAATCACAATTTAAATTCTTTGGATTGTTTATCTCTAAGCTCCGACATTTAATACAAAAATTTAACACTTTCCCAATTAAGCATGGTAGTGTTAATACTCTATTTGTAAAAATGCTGTACTTTGGGAACTTGGTAAATCTTCACAGCTGTCGGAACTGTAGAAAGAAAAGGTGGGCTGAGGTACAGCAGCAGCACACTGTAACGGGAACAAACACTGCTGAGAACCTTTTGTCTATTTCTCTACTGTACAAAAACATTTCAGCATCTTCTAGGTTCATCGGCTTTTCAACAGTCAAATAAGAAACCTTTACTTTTCATCAAATTAGTCCTAAGACTTTCTAAATGATGGACTTTGACTATCGGGTCCCCTTTACATATAAGGCCAACACTGGTTTTAATTTCTATTGGAACCAAGGAACTTTCACTGGAGTGCTTAGAATGTTCAGGGAGGGAAAACTTCCACAGCTTTTCTAGTCCATACACAACAATCAGAATGTAATAGAAGTTGCAGAAGATCCAGAACACACATTAGTCATATTTGAGTCTCTCTATTAGGCGCTCCTCCTTGTAATAGGAAATAATCTGAATCAGTATGGAACAGTTGATCAGAAGGAAGAACAAACCAGCTAACCAAATGAACAGGAAGGTGTTCTTTCCTTGAAACTCTAGAACATAGGCAGGAGCCAGCCACAAGGCCTGCCCTATAAACCACAACAGTAAGAGGACTATGGCTCTTTTCCAAGGCATTCTCACGAGCGGCATCACCAGAGGCAGAAGGCAGAGGTACCAAAGAAAGTACTGGGAGGTGCACACTTTGTTAAAAGTCACAAAAATGGATGTGTGAAGAAAACAACAGAAGACAAGATCTCTGTAATAGGCAAAAGACACGGCTGAAAGCAAGATGAACTGTGGCAGGAATGCAGCAATCCCCAGGGTAAAACTCCACCTGCTCTCTGCAGTCAAATACAGCATATAGAAGTACGGAGAAAAGTTGTGGCGGATGTCCCGTCTAGTCAGGTGATACAAGTAGGTGTGCTCCAAAAACTCCCAGCCGTACTTATAGTAAAAACCGAAGCTCAGGGCAAAAAACGTGAGTCCCGCCACCGCTACGAAGAGCAGCACTGCCCAGCTACACAGCCTCCTGAGGAAGTCGTACAGCCGGGCCCGGAAAGAGTAGCGGGCTTGCCGGAGACTCTCGTCATTCTCGCGCTCGGGTCGCAAGTGGAGGGCTATGGGGAGGATGTAGGTCACGGGATACATCTTCATGTGCACCGCGACCCCGTAGAACACCGCGGCCCCCGCGATGAGGCGCTTCTCTATCAAGTACAGGGCCGTGAGCACCAGGGAGGCGACGATGGAGTCGGCGTTGCCTCGGCTCGACACCGCCATGGGTAAGGGGTTCAGCAGCCAGAAGACGCAGTAGCCACAGGCCTGGCGGCGCCCCAGCCCCTTGAGCAGCAGCAGGCGGTACACGAGGAAGGCGGTGAGGAGATCGCAGCTGATGAAGAGGAACTTGCCGAAGAGGTCGCCCAGGTAGATGTTGGGCGTGAGGAGCCAACTCAGGAGCGGGGTGTAGCGATACGTGGCCCTCCGGTAAGGGGAGCGCCCTTCCGTGACGAAGCGCGCGGCGTCCGTGAACACATGGTAGTCGATGTCGGTGTACCTCACGAGCAGGGTCCGGTCCTGGAAGACACCGTAGAAAACCAGGGCGACCCGGGCCAGGAAGGCCACGCCGAACACCCCGGCGGGGGGCACCCGCAGGTTCAGGAACCACTCCCCCCAGTGCCTGGTGTAGCTCATGGTCTGACTGCGGGCCGGCCGGCCGCCCGGCGCCGGCTCCACACTGCGCCCCTCTCTCTCTCTCTCTCTCTCTCTCTCTCTCAGCCGTCCTCCAGCTCGCTCCGCTCGGACTCCCCGAGCATCTCCTCCGCTCGAGTGCAAACAGAAACAACCCAGGGACGACCACTTCCGGCACGAAGCCCCGCCCCCACGCTACTTCCGGCCTCGCGCGGATTCTCCGTTGTCCTCCCCGCCCCCGGCGGAACAATTATCTTCCTCGGGATTGGCTGCCTTGCCTCCCCCCCCCTCGCCCCCAGCTTCCTCGCTTCCGGCGGAGGAGGGATTTCCGGTCCCTCATCGGCCACATTTCCGCTGGCCGGAAAGCCCGGAGTGGCTGAGGTGTGGTGGAGCGGAGTGAACTTTGATTTTAGTAACCGGTGCTCTGGCGTTCCCAGCTCAGGTCAACCGAGGAGGACCTTCGGCCCAGAATGAACTATGACCTGCTGGCTGCTGAGTGAAAAATGGAGACGGAAAGGAAATAAACCTAAAATAGTTCTCAGGTTTTTACCCCTGATAGGAATGTTCCTCCTACTTGTCTATTTGACACCTCTGGAGTGCCGTCAACTCCGTTCTTTTCAAGCACCCTTCAACGAAGTCAAAATCTGCCCTTCACCCACCCTGTTCTACCCTACCGCTAGCCAGGACTTTTCTTCTTCTTCTTCTTCTTCTTCTTCTTCTTCTTCTTCTTCTTCTTCTTCTTCTTCTTCTTCTTCTTCTTCTTCTTCTTCTTCTTCTTCTTCTTCTTCTTCTCCTTCTCCTTCTCCTTCTCCTTCTCCTCCTCCTCCTCCTCCTCCTCCTCCTCCTCCTCCTCCTCCTCCTCCTCCTCCTCCTCCTCCTCTTCTTCTCTTCTTCTTCTTCTTCTTCTTCTTCTTCTTCTTCTTCTTCTTCTTCTTCTTCTTCTTCTTCTTCTTCTTCTTCTTCTTCTTCCTTAACGCACTTTATAATCGGCTTTTAAGAACTTCATACCTTTAGAGTATTTCCAGTTTCAACTACATTGTAGTGTTCTTGAGAGTAGAAAGTATATCTTTATTTCTTTGCACTTTTCTGACACAGGCTGACTGGCTTGATCTTACAAATTGAGCCTGCTCCTAGGGAAAGTCTTGTAGCTTAGTATAGAGGTGGCTCCACTCAGTCTGGACATGCATCTCTCATCCAACACTTCATGTTTATCCTTTGAAGGAGCCATATTAACCTTATATTCTGATATTTCTACCTTTAATATGCCTTGATGTAAGTATATGTTGTAGATTAATAACTACACCATGCACTGGCCATATATATAGTGATAACACATACCATTCAAATAACCATTATGATTCATAATAGTTGTTTGTTAAGGATTTATTTACAATTGTCAGATGTACTAATTACTTTTTAATGTAAAGTAGATATTTTTACCTTTACCAAATGAGGAAAACCAGAGTTTACATAGTCACATAGCCAACTAGTAGCAGAACTGAATTGAAAGTAGGTCTGTCTAACCCAACATATCTTAATTGTTGTGTGATGAACTTGCAGGTAAAATGCTGATTTGCAATTTCTAGTTTCTCTCTGTTTTATCTTCTTAATCTCATCTTGAAATCTGTTTGATATCCTCTCTCACTGTTACTCTTTATATCCCTGATTTGTTATTTTTCCTTTGTGAGTTATAGGTAAGTGAAGCTTAGCATCAGTAGAGAATATGAGAGAGATGTCTGGAGATTAAGTAAGGGTTCTTCTGGGTAGGTTGTTTTAGGTATTTTGGCAGAAAAGCCTCAGGTAATTATCCTTTAGGACTGGCCTAGTAAATAGGAGAAACACCAAATTCAGGAAGATAAGCAAACAACAAATCAAAAGAAGCAGCTGTCCCTGAGTCAGATGAGTGAGATGCAGAAAATAGCAGAACTCTTGAACAGATGTCACTCTCTGCCTTTAGTGTCCGACCCTGTGAAGTGTTTTCCATTGATTTTATGTTTTAGAATATGTTAACTATCTATTTTGTATTAGCATATGCTAAATGCTTCACCTTTAGTTATATTTGTTATGTATCACTTATTTCTCACAAGTATGTAAGAACTACAGATTTGGAATCTGGTTATTTCATACATCTTGTACATTTAATATGTCTTATGACTCACTTGTTGATGAGGGACCCAATTTTCCCCTGCCCCCTTTGTCCTTCCATCTTAAGGACCAGGAGTCAAGTGACTATAACTTGTTGTTTCTTGCCAGAGTGTTTGGGGTTGGATATTGACCACGACTTTCTCAGGCTCATGCTAGGTAAGAATAGATGAGAAATCCATTACTTGGGGACAGAAATGCCTTCTGCTTAAATTGGACTTCCAGACCCTTGAGGATATATAAGGAAAACCATCCAAAAAATATTTCCTAGTGTGAAAGGGAAAAAAAATGGACTCAAACATCACCATCTAAAAGAGACAGTGTCCCAGATCCAGACCAATTTGACTCCTGGAATTATTTGAACCAGTTTTCAGATTCCTGAGTCTTAGTATTTATTAAGTCTTGCCCTTTAAGAACTGGATTTTCAGGCTGGAGAAATGGCTCAGTGGTTAAGAGCACTGGGTGCTCCTCTAGAAGACCCAGGTTCAATTCCTGGCATCCACATGGCGGCTCACAATTGTCTGTAATCCTGGTTCCAGGGGATCCATGGTACCAGGCCTGCATATGGTGCACATATATATATGCATGCAGGAAAAATGCCCATACACATAAAATAAAATAAATAAATTTTAAAAAAAGAAGAACTGGATTTTCAAGCCATAGAGCTGGCTCATTGGGTAAAGATGCTTGCTGCCAAACATGACTTGAGTTTGACTCCCCAGAGCCCATGTAGTGGAAGGAGAGAACAGACTCCAGAAAGTTGTTCTCTGTTGTCCACAAGCCCTTGCACACCTACACATAAATAAATCAATAAATAAATAAATAAAGTTTTTAAAGATTTAAAAACTGAGTTTGGAATTTACTTGTTAAAGGATCTTAGTAAGGGCAAGAGCAAGAAAAGGATTGGGCCGGGCAGTGGTGGCGCACGCCTTTAATCCCAGCACTCGGGAGGCAGAGTCAGGCGGATCTCTGTGAGTTCGAGGCCAGCCTGGTCTCCAAAGCGAGTTCCAGGAAAGGCGCAAAGCTACACAGAGAAACCCTGTCTCGAAAAAACCAAAAAAAAAAAAAAAAAGAAAAAAAAAAGAAAAAGAAAAGGATTGGAAGGGTTGGGGGATAGTATTTATGAAATGATGAGTCAGCAGAAAAGGCTGGCCTCATGACCAGAAGTTTTTCCAGCAGAGCCTAATTGAGCCCTCCTCTCCCATAAGTCAGCCTATGAGTTCAAACCTTGATAACACGAAAGGTTGTGATTTCTAAAAGAAGATACAGTGAGAACAAGAGATTCATCCAGTTTATTTAGTAGTTTCTTCTGAACAGACAAAAAATAAACCAAAAATACCTCACACATCTTGTTTCTAAATACATTTGACCTGGTTTAGTTTTTAATGCAGTGCGTAGAAAAATCATCCCTAGATATTCCTGCTTCGGTAGCATTGGCCAATAGTGGGCCTGGAAGCCCCGCTAACTGTACAGCCTAGGTAATGTGTTATTTGTGCAAAGGAACTAAGTTAGCTCGCGGGGGTAAAGGTTTGTGGTAGCGGCCATGGAGAAGGTGCAGTGTTCCTGGACAGTAGCTACGTTAGGACTGCTTTTCTTTCTCTGCTGACCTCAGGGGAACCCCTGCATAGTTTTACTAGCTGGAGTGGGTTTCAGGAAGCGGGGAGGGGGCAGTAGGGAGCAGCAGGAATGAAGTGAAACACAGCTTAGTGGTTTCAGAAGCCTCCCATAGAATTGTATCATCCTCTAGGGAAGATGAAAACCTCATTCTTCATAGAGGAGCCTTAAGGCTTCCATCTGCCTCCCCGCCAGGACTGTAACTATGATATACACAGCACCCTCTTTAGAATTTTTTGTACATAGGCTCGGGCCTCTGTCTTGGGAGTATCTTGAGCTCAACAGCTCATCAGTCCTGGCATTCGTACTCTAGTGGTAAGTTTTCCACTTAATGTTTCCCAAATACCGAATTTTCAGCGTCTCAGTTTTTAATTACGAGGCCTAGAGCTAGAGCTCCTCCCCCGGTGGAAGGATGGGAAATACAGAGTGTACTTCAGGAGAGGAAAACTGCTTGCTTGCTTGTTTTAGAAGTTATTCAATGGCATGTTATTGCCGGGGATAGGTAAAACAGTGTGAGTGGTAGATTTTCCTGGATCTTTGTGGATAGGGCATTTCCTTGCCCCATTTCCTCCTGGCTCCTCTCTCGTCCTATCAGCACAGGTCCCTCAGACCTCAATGGGTGCTCCTTTAGTTATGAAAGGGACAGGGACTAGCCCTCCCTTTTCCATCAATCAAACTTAAAACCATCAGCTACTCTCACTGCTCTGCTGACCATAACACAGAAAATCCAGGTATCCTACTCCATAAAATCAAGGCAAGATATTTGTCCCTTTGCTAAGGTCTGAGTACTTCCTTCTGTACATTCCATATATTTGGGTATATGTACATCTATATACATATCTCTCAATATATTATCTCTGTTTTTCTCCTTAGATAAACATATATATCATATCCCAATTTCCCAAGTTTCCACCCACCTTTTCTGTGCCAGTCTAAGTAAGACTCTGGGGTTCATCACTAGGTCCCTTAGCCTCATCTTTCTCATTTTCACACTCTAGATATCCTTCCCCATGGGTTGTTATCTCCCACCCCACCTAAAATCCTCACCTGTTACCCTCCTGACGTTCCAAGTCTACAGCTGGTTCAAACTGGGAACCCATTTCTCATCAGTCCCGGCTGCTAGTAAAGCTTATCCTATATCCTGAAAAGAGATTCCAGGTCAGGGGAGCCTGGCTGTGATCCGAAGAACCACTTAGAACTGGGAGTGGGGGTGGTTGCATGCAGAGCACTGGGCTTCTGGGAGAAGGGTGCCATTCTGAATTAACAGGGCGGCATGATTTTAAAGTGCAGTTTAGGGGAGAGCCTGGGGTTGCAGAGGAAGTTCAAAAAGGGTTAAGGCAGAAAGTGTTCTCTTCTCACGTTGTTATCCAAGAATCTGAGGAGAGCTGGGCCTTAGGCAAGGAACTGGGAAGAGAGTAATTCCTTCAGGAGGGAAGCAGCACTGTGCAGAAGAAACCAGACAGAGGAAAAATTGCCAGTGGGTGAGAAGAGACACACTCGCAGTACACTTGGTCCTTGCACACCGACACCACCGGGTAAGTACAGCATTGGGTATATTTGTTAGCACGGAAGCTGGCTCTTCGCCTGCTGCTCTTTGTTTCAGATGTTCAGGTTCTTCTGGTTCTCGTTTTGATGGGAGTTTAAGGACAATGGAGAGTTTTACAGTAAGAAGAAGCTGAGCAAAGGCTCTTCATTTTCAAGCCACCGTTAATTGAGTTCAAGGAACGACCAATGTTAAGAGGACTGTGCCCAGCTGAGATGGGTTCAGCCTCAGGCTCTCCTGATTTCTCCGCAAGGCTTTGCACAGATAATGTGTATACATTCTGTGTAAGTGTGTAGTTTGTCATCATCTGTCAAGTCCACCTTAAATCAACAATTATGTCATCCCTGCTGGCATTCCTGCTAAACCACCTTGTGGGGTTTCCTGTGTATCTAAGTGGAACCAGAACTCGCTTGTGCTTTGGGCTTTAGAACAGGACCTGGTGCTGATGATGCCCTTCCCTGACCCCTGCCACGGTCCTCACCAGAGAAGCAGGAATGGCCTGGGTCTGATCTTTTCTTTTTAACTTGCCTGAAACTGGCCCGTTGGCAGAAGAGAGTAGAGGTGACCCTGACTTTCGTCATTGTATGCCGTGTCAGAACGGCTGAGATCAGAATGTAAGTTCCTCCCCTCTCCTCATCGCCTCATAAAAGAGCTGGCACTTTTCAGAAGGGCACAGGAGATGTAACAAAATAGTGGCTGTCAGCCTGAGTCCTGCTTCAGTCCAAACCTTGACAAAAACATCACAAATTCCCAGAGGCTCTGCATAGCAATCTGCAAATCTGAGAAGTCAGTTCAACTTTCCTGGGGAATCTGTGCCCTGTGACGTGTGTGTGTGTGTGTGTGTGTGTGTGTGTGTGTGTGTGTGTGTGTGTGTGACTAGTTTTAATGGATCGGTGTTAAGAAAGGAAATAACGGTGTTTCCCTGTCTTTCTTCAAAAGCTTGGGTGAAGGGGTCTGGGAAGGATAGGAAAGGAAGAAGGGGAACCCTGTACAGTGTAATCTGGAGTGGTTTTAGATATTGTCATGGGTCCTGAGCGCTGGACTTAGAGAGCATTGGCGGCAGGGCATAGTGGCTCACACCTTAATCCCAGTACTTGGGAAACAGAGGCAGGTGGATCTCTGTGAGTTCCAGGCCAGCCAGGTCTACAGAGTGAGTTCAAGGACAGCCAGAGCTACATAGTGAGGCCCTGTCTCAAAAAATATTGAGAGAGGAGAGAGAGAGAGAGAGAGAGAGAGAGAGAGAGAGAGAGAGAGAGAGAGAGAGACAGAGAGAGAGAGACAGAGAGAGAGAGACAGAGAGAGAGAGAGAGAGACAGAGAGAGCTCATTGGCTAAGGTCTTCCCATTCACAGGACACAGTAAAAGAAATCTTTCCAGGACAGGGCCAGAGTTTTAGACAATAGTTTTAAAATTGACTTCCTCAGAACGCAGAATGGGTGCAGGAGGGGTGGTGGTGGCTGTTAACATTTCTCAGGTCAGCCCCAGTTCTGTGGGAACAGAGGCTGAGAGAGAACTGGGACCCCTGAGAAGATCCACTTGAGAACTGGGAAGGGGAAACAAGACGGTGAGCAAAAGTCTAGGTTATGTCAGGAGTTACCAGCTGAGATGAAATACACCATGGCAAACCCTGGCTTCTTTCTTCAGGATTTGGTAGAGAGCCCAGGGAAAACTGATTTCAGCTTCCTTTATTTCTGAGAGCAGAGTCCATCGAGTGACTCTCCGAGAGAGCTTTGCCTTAGGGGACTTACTAGCTGGAAACAGAGACCGAGGGGGCTCCCGTCTCAAGTCATCACACTTTATAGTAGTGGGGAGTTGGGGGGAGTCTAGCCATCAATCACATGGTCCTCCTAATGTGAATCTCCAAGCATGGCTGAGGCCCTTCCAAGCCATTCCAGCCTAATCTTCCCTCTCCGTCCCCCATCCTGGCTTAAGAGTCGTGTGCTTGGCATAGTAGTAGAGGAAGGCGCGAGGGGACAGCGAGAGGAAAACGTAGGACTCCAGTTGGTCTGGACTACTGACAGGCCACTGGGGTAAGGAAGGGGAAGTAGAGGATGGGTGCTTCTGGGGTTCTCCAGGGAACCCAGATAGTCTCCTTTTCCCAGGGCACTGAAAGAGGAAAAGGCCGAAGGGCTGGGGAGGAGAGACCAGGAAGTCAGACATTGCTGATGCGCACACTAAGGGCACTGCCTTCCTTTCCAGCCTGCTCTCTTAAGGATTCTTCCAACTTGAGCTTTTCCGGGTCTCCATAGCGGACAGCGCTATCACGGAGACCACCAGGGGGAGCCACTTTCACAACTTGGTCAAAAAGGCTAAAGTCCGCTATGTATTTGCCGCTGGCTGACAGTGAGATAGCGGGCGTGAATTCATAGCCCCAGAGGATCTCCTCCGGCAGGTAGGAAGTGCGAACCTGACAGGTGGCGCTGGTGGACTCCACTGTCCCACTTAGGATCAGCACCAGCTCAAAGTCCCCCTCCCCACTGCGGAGGGGGAGATCCTTCAAGGGACTTGTCTCATCTACCACATGGTAGAAGGTCAGGGGTAGAATGAGAAAGGGGCTGTCAGAGGCTGTGTCCACTTGGAAAGTCACATTGACCTGGTTGAGCCGAATATTCTCACCCTCCTTTGTCTGGTGGGTCTGAAGCAGTTTGCCCGTCACCTGGCATCCAATGAGGAGACTCTTCCGCATATTGGCAACTCGGATCATAAGGCAAGGCTTCCCGTTATGGGAGGCTACAACTGCATGCTGGCTGAAACGGATAGTCTCAGCCCTCTTCTTGGGCCGGGCGATCTTTGCCAGGAAGGTACCTGTGATGAAGATTTCAAGAATGGTGGTGAGCACCAGCTGGGCAATAAGAAGCACGATGGCCAGAGGGCACTCCTCGCTGATATAACGGAAGCCATAGCCAATGGTGGTCTGGGATTCGAGGGAGAAGAGGAAGGCTCCAGTGAGTGTGTGCACCTGCACCACACAAGGGGTGTGGTTGGCAGGGGGTCCCAGCTCCAACAGGTCCCCATGGGCCACAGCTACCAGATACCACACCACGCCAAAGAGGAACCAGGTGCCTGCGAAGGTCGCGGAAAAGAGAAGAAGCTTGTAGCGCCATTGCATGTCAATGAAGGTCGTCCATAGGTCCTTGAGGTAGAGGAAACGCTTGTCAGCAATATGCTCCATTCTCACGTTGCTGCGGCCATCTTTTGTCAGGACCCTCCTCCGACGTATTCCTGGGGCCACTAGGGGCCGGCTTTCTGTCTGAGTCGTCTGACTGTAGTAGACCTTGGCGACTGATGTCATCTGCAGGGAGCAGGACAGCATAAAGGAGGTTATTGCCCAAACCCAGCCAACTCCTAGACACCACCCAATGGGAGAAGGCTCTAACTAAGATTTCCTTTTAAAATCCCTTATATTTCTTTATGGAGGGGGAGGGGATGCTTAAGTATCACGCCCGAGGACAATTTGCAGGATTTTGTTTCCTCCCACCATGTGGGCCCTGGGCATTGAACTTCAGTGGTCAAGCTCGGTGGCAAATGCCTTTACCTGCTGAGTCAGAGTCATCTTGTCAGCAGCCCCTCACCTTCATTTGGATGCCATTTACCCTAGCAAATATTTGTCAAGCACTTGTTAAATGCCAGTCACCGCATGAGGTCCTGATAGGTCAAAGGTGAAAATGACAGCATTCTTGCTAAGAGCTCACAGTTTAGTGAGGACCTGAATTAAACACATCATTGCCCTACAGTGTAATATAATAATGTTTGTGATCTGAGGAAGAAGGTGAGACCGAGAAGGAAGAGTAGGAAGTGCACCGGTCTCTGAGAGTAGGAATGAGAGCTCTACTGATCTCCACACATGCATGCATGCATGCACACACGCGAGTGCACGCACACACACACACACACACACACACACACACACACACACACACACATACACACATACACCACTCCTATGGAGATACCTAATTCAAAGTAAAACTCCCCGCTGATGAGTACCAAGGCAAGAAAACCTATTCCACTGAAGTCCTTCCAGGACAGTCCTGCTTAAGATGCATGTATACCTTTAATTTTGCTATTCTCTCTCCTAGCCCCGAGTTAATAACCACGGGTGAGAAAAGAGCAGAAGGCATCCATTCTTCTACTGCTCAAGCACTCAGTCTCCTTCACTTGCCGCCATTACCATCATCATTTGTTTGCACTACCTGGGAGAAGTTAGGCCTGAGTCAGGGTCTCGCTTGGTGTTAGGAAGAGCACAGAGACGATCTCAGCAAAGACTATAAGCAGGAAGGAAGCAACCGGCTGAAGCTTCCTGTCAGCACCCAGACATCTCCCCACAGGTTCGCAGCGATGCCAGATTGTAGGCAGCAAAGCTGTCTTGACTGCGTGAGGTGCAGGTGGACTCCATATTAGTTAGAAGCTATGTCTGCACGGGCTCAAATTCAAGACTGCTATTCGTCCTGACAGTAGAAAGTGGGACGAGGCACTGAAACAGGAGACAGTTCACTTAATACAAGGTGTCTGGCGTCCCTGCCCAAAAAGTAACTTTGTACTTTTCCAGTAGAAAAGAGTTTAATCACTTGGACTCTGAGTCTGACATCTGGAACTCCTGAGAAGGAGGAAGATGGTTTCTGGGATTTGGGGCTCTTTGGAGATCAGAGCAGCCATCGTATTCCCACCCCGTATGTCTGAACCATTGCATTTCATCATTGCTCTTTATCACATTCGTGCATTTTCCCCATTCCTCTGCCTCTGAAAGAGTCTAAGTTATATGGTCCTGTCCATGTACTCCTACCCACACAGGCACTGAATTGGAAATCACCAATGGATGAGGGTCCCGAGAACATTCAGAAGCAGTCAGTCTGCCCATTTTACCAGCCTGGAGACCATCTGAAACTCTTATCTACTGGAGACTGCTACTCAGCTAGACCCCAGTGCTCGTCACTGCCTATGGCCTTGGTTCCTTTGAAGCAAAAAGAATCCTCTGTAGCTCTGAATAATTCCTATTTAGAACTTAAATAAAGCCCTACTCAATACTCCAAAGTGCTAATAATAACAACCATCTACCACAATCCACATATATGGGTATAATTTATATTTAATTTTATATATAATTTTATAATTCAATTTTAATTATATAATATATAAAAATTAAAAAATATATAATTATATAAGAATAATTATTATATATCATTTTAATTTTCAAAAATAAAAGTGAGGGGTTGGAGAGATGGCTCAGCGATTAAAAGCACTGGCTGCTCCCCCAGAGGCCCTAAGTTCAATTCCCAGCAACCACATAGTGGCTCCCAACCATGTATAATGGGATCTGATGCCCTCTTCTGTCATGCAGGCACACATGCAGATAGAGCACTCATATGCATAAATAAGTAAATCTTAAAAAATAAATAAAATAAAAATGAAACATATTTCATAAGCTATAGAGATATGGGTGATACTGATCCTAGGAAAGATTCTCAAATAAAATACAAGGGTTATGTGTAACTAGACAGAACAAGAGAACGGGAAGTTGTCAGTCAGACTCACTGTGGGTTTACTGAGAACAAGTCATATCAAAACAATTTAATTTCCTTCTATGATGAGGTTACTAAATTGACAAATAACAAAATACAGATAATGTGTAACTTCAGCAAGTTTTTTAACAAAATCTGTCATTATACCTTTGGGGATAAAATAGAGAAAATGACCAGAAGGATAATGTAATGAGGTGGTCTTCAAGAGTCAGTGGTACTGGTGAGTAGAGCCCCATAGCCTAGAATTCATTTCCTATTGATGGAGCTAAGTGATTTATCCTTGATCTTGCCCTATTCAATGTTCTTGACACTAATTTCATTCAAAACTAGAGAACATTGTGGCCATCAATTGTGTGGATGGCACAGACCTGGGACAGTGTACAAGGACTGGGCAGAATTGAGACCTAAAAAGAACCAGATGAGTGAGCCAAACCTAATGAAAAGAATAAATGTTGGATTATGCACTCAGGCCAAAAATTATCTGGGAAAGTTTAAGATTATAAAGATGTAATTTGGTCACATTACCATGGGGTAGGGAGAGAGAGAGAGATTTAAACATTGCAGCAAAGAAAAAAAAATCCAGTATGAGTTATTCATGCCAAAAAGCAATACAATCTTAAGCTAGTTTGGTTGAATGAAGTCTCTAGAATAAGGAGGTAATTGATTTCACTCTGCTTGGTTCATTCCGCATCTTCAGTATTCCATCTCAAGCAGCAATCAAGAGATGAAAAAATCCGAGGCCAGATCACATGGGAAACGGTTAGAGGGAACAGGCGGATTTTGTCAAGAGAAGGGATGATCTGAAGAAAGAACAGATGTGTACAAAATACTTGGCTTAAGGGACCATCACATGAATGAAGGGTCAGATTAGTTTTCTGAGCTCCAAGAACAAACAGGACCAGCGAGTTCAAACTATAGGGAGGAAGATTCCAGAGTTATATTGAGGGGGGGGGGGGGGACACCACTATAATCAGGATTGTCCAGATGTGAAGAGTCCCTGGAAAGGTACAGAACATGCTGTCCCTGGATGTCCAAAGATAAGTTATACACTATTTTCAGAGATCTCATAGAGGAGATGAACGTTCTCACTGGATAGCGAAAGAAAGATTAAGCTTCCAGCTACACCTATGGGAAACAAGAATGCCGGCTTCCTCCTCCCCACCTCTACTCCTGAACTTTCTGTGGTGACATTCAGGGATCTCTCATCTATGCCCTCGCTTTGTGTTAAGAGGAGGTGCTACATATCAGGAAGCATGGAGGCTCTCAAAAACCTAGCTTATCAGTCTCCAAACAACATCCTATGGTCATGTTACTTTATAAAATATGTAATTTGATCCCCACACTGTGAGGTGGACAGGAAAGACATCATTGGAAAACTGAGGCTCAGAGAAAATCACTCCAAGCAAATTAGAGGTAAAATGGGAAGCCAAACCCAGGTCTTCGGGCTCCTGGGACAAAACACCTGGTACCCTGACCTGAGGAGTTTTGCTGACACAGAGAAGACAGAGCCTGGAGCTTTGAAGGCAGGGTTTTAAGGCTATGGACTCCAGGGCCCTAGAGACTTTGGCTACCCACTAGCTTTTCTTTGTTGCCTCTGGCTGTTGTGTTTGCCGCCTCCAGCTGTGTGTCTCCGTCGCCAGCCCTTGTATCTGCCACCTCCAGCTGTGATCCGAAGTTCCCAGCTGTTATGCCACCTCCTACAGCCAAGCCACTTTGTTCTCAGGGGTGGCCAGACTCAGAAACAGATAAACAATCAGCAAGCTCCACCCCCAAGCTGGCCAGGCCTCTGGGGGAAAGGAAGCCAGCCAAAGTTCTGGAAGTGGTTTGCGGCTGCCCGACCAAAAAACATACATCCTGTTTCCTCTAGAGGGTGCACTTTCTCCAACACAGTCCCAACCACGCCGTGGGGTTGGCATTCTAAAGAGCAGCCTGAACAATGAGACGACGGAATCCGGCTGTCTGCCTCCTTTCTTCTATGAGAAGTGAGCTAATTCTTTCCCTAAAGCAAAGGTCAGCCCTGAGGACGGTGATGTTCATTCCTCCAGCAAACTCTAGGTCTATCTTTGGTTTCACACTGTCAGCTCCCCCTAGAGCTAGATTTCCTAACCTACAAGCACTTTTATTTTATGCCAGCCACGTATGCTCGCAGAGTGAATGGATTTATCACCGCCTTTCTCAAGTGCTTGATCGTTCACGAGACAAGACAGCTCTTGTGACTGAAATTGGCCAAGGTCCTCCATTGTTTTTAGGATAAACTGCAAGCCTTTGGCATGGCAGTCGAGGTGAGTTAGTCTCTGCTTACTCGTTCTTTCTTCTTCCTTGTATTGTTGTTTGTTTGTTTGTTGAGACAGGGTTTCTCTGTATAGCCCTGGTTATCCTGGAACTCTCTCTATATAGAGACCAGGCTGGCCTTGAAGAGATCCACCTGCCTCTGCCTCCAGAGTGCTGGGACTAAAGCCACCACACCTGGCTTCTACTCACTTCTTGGCCTTACCCTTGACAGTCTTCTACACATCCTTAGCCTTCAGCTCTACGGAAAAACCCCATGGTCTGATTCTTTCCACCTTTGGATCTGCTTTTGTACGGCTCAACTCCCTGCCTGTGTGACGACCTCCCGCCTGCCTTTCACAGCCTGGACCAAGTGTTTAGTGATGCCTTTGGAAGCCTTCCTCACACTCAGGGGAATAGTTTTTCTCTGTGTCCCTACCCCCGCATCACCCTGACACGAGTTTTCTAAGCATGCTCTTGCCTGAATTCCACTTTATAATACCACAGTGCTTTGCAATGTTTATTTGCCTTTATTTGCCATCTGTGAACTCTTAATTGAAGGCCATGGACTATGTATGCCTGTATCTGTTCCACCAGAAGCAAGTCTTTTTCAAGACCGAGGGAGAAATGACTAAAGGTGCCGTCTGGACAGGTCTGAGCGGGGCTGCCGCCTTGATGCACCACACCGGAGATGACCTCCTGAAGACCTTCAGGAGGAGCTGTGACAGGGAAGAGGGGATCCAAGCTCACTCAGGCATGACTAATGCTGCAAATGTCTGCAGATCCTTTCAGAAGGTGAAGGAAAGACAGCTCAGAGACGTCAGTGCCAACCCTTCTGTGGGTCAGCTGACTTGGGGGGCAGGGCAGGAGCGTGGTAAAAGAGTGGGTTTTAACACTGCTGCATGGGGACTGGGAAGGTTAAGTTAAGTTAGCAGAGGGCTTGCATGGCATGCATGAGGCCCTGCGTTTGGTCCCCAACAGTGCATAAAGCAGAAATGGTGGCACAGCTGTGATCCCAATGCTCAGGAGGTTGAGCCAAGAGAATGAGAGGTTCGAGGTTATCCTTGGCTACGTAGCAAGTCTAAAGCCAGACTGGGCTACCTGAGACCCTGTCTCAAAAGTTAAGAAATGGCTCAGAGGTTAAGCGCACTGGCTGCTCTTTCAGAGGTCCTGAGTTCAATTCCCAGCAACCATATGGTGGCTCACAACCATCTGTAATGAGCTCTGGTGCCCTCTTCTGGTATGCAGGCATACATGGAGGCAGAATGTTGTATACATAATAAATAAATAAATCTTTTAAAAAATTAATCAAGTTGTTTAATTACCACTAACGTTTATTATGCTATATTGGGTGGTTAGAAAGGATGCTTCAACTCCACACCAGAGACAGCAGGTGGAAGGGCAGGGGATAAACTGTACCATTTCCTGAGACCTATCCTGTTGGAGGGGGGGAGTCCTTTCAACCCCAAAGAAAGAGCGTCTCTGTAGCGAAAGCAACTCAACGGGAAGGAGCTTTGGGACGTGAACACTAAACTCATTCATTTCCAAATGGAGACAATTTCTCATTCTTCTCCAACCTGCCCCCTCTTCGGTTCCCTAAATCACTAAGGTGCCATCATTCTCCCAGCTGCTCACACTCAGAGGCCTAGCACCATTCCGCACTCCCCTTTCAGTTCACTACAGAATGTTACGCGTTGTGGATGTAATCCTCGTGCTGCCTCCCTTTCGTTTCCTTATTATCCTTCAGGTCCTTAATGAACGCCGGCGTCGCCTACTGTTCAGCTCATCTCTCCATTTTTTCTGTAATCAAACTCATCCTACATTGCTACTGTGTGACTCTCAGTTATGCTTCTGATCATGAATCAGTGAACACTGATCTGGTATTTTCCAAAGCACGTACACATTTCATTCTCATCGTATTCCTGGGAAAGAGTAAGATCAGAGTCCTGAGGCTGAGGATCTAGCATAGCTAGGAGATACTAAAGTGCTTGCCTAGCATGCCCAAGGCTCTGGGTCTGATAAAAACAAAAAACAAACAAACAAAAAAACCTGAAAAAAAAAATCCTAGTCCTTATTTTGTAAGCAAAGAAACTGAGACTCAGCAAGATGGTGTGGCTCCTAAATCACAGAACTGGACTCACGATCAAGTCCTCTGTCTCCAAACCCACCCACTTTTCATCACACTGTGTCTGCCCCAGTTCCTTCCCCAGCTCAAAGAAAATATTTCATTGTACACCAAAGAGAGACCAGACTGAGCCCAGCACCTGAGGAGTTCTGTGACCTGTGTCTAGCCCACCTTCCCTGCCTTACTTCCTACTGTTCCTCTCCTGTGGCACATTCCAGCAAACAAATGCCTTGCTGTTGAAGCCCTGCTGTACTCACACAGGCTTTCTTGCCTTCATCTATCCTTCTGTATTCCAGGCTACCTGAGCCTGGTTCGGACGACCCCTGTTCCATAAAATCTTCCCCGAAAACCACAGCCTATTCCTGAATTTCCATGTATATGTATCTATTGAGTAAAAACAAGTTTGTTGAAGGGAGCACCCAGGTCTTCTATATCTTGATTGTTTGAGTCTTATGATTTAGACATCCCCGGAAAGCTCATGTATTGAAGGCCTTGGTCCTCACTACAGCAGTGTTCAGAGGTAGAGACCTGAGATGTGAGTGATCGGATCATGACAGTTCTAACTCACCAGTGGATTAACTGGAAGTTAGGAGGTGGGGCCGAGTTAGAAACAGGTCACTGGGCATGACCTGAAGGGATATATCTTGTCCTCCATACCTTCCTCTGTACTTCCTGATTTCCCGGAAGTGAGCAGTTTTCCTCCTCCACACCCTTCTGCCTTGATGTTTCCGCCATGCCTCTGGCCTAAGAGCATAGGAGGTCACCACACAGAACAAAGTATCTCAGACTACAACTCAGAATTTCCTCCTTTAAGTGTTTTTCTCGGGTATTTGTCACAGCAACGCAAAGCTGACTGACATAGCTAACAGTCATGTGATGCACAGTGAGCGCTCGGGAAGCATGCTGTGAGAGAATTAGTGAACAGGAGCGAGCACAACCCTTTCTGGCTATAGAGATCAGTCCAAGACAGTGGTTCTCAGCCTGTGGGTTGCATGTCAGATGTCCTGCATACCAGATATTTATACGACAGTTCATACCAGTAGCAAACTCACAGCTATGAAGTAGCAACAAAATGATTTTATGGGTGGGGGTCAGCACAACATGAGAAGCTGTGTCAAAGGGTCTCAGCGCTAGAAAGGTTGAGAGCCACTGCTCCAAGGGAAAGAGAAGATGCCGCCATCGCTGTAGGGCTGGGGAAATGTGGAACCTCTTGTTCTCTGTGGAATGAGTGGGACTCTACTCTGGCCTAGGGCCTTGGGGACCTTTTCTTCTGCCTGTCTTGTTTGTGGCTTCTCTTGATTTTTCTTGTGATTTTTTTTCCTCTTATACATATGGAAACCCCAGACAGCTAATTAGAATCACTATTAAATATGAGAAAAAAACCCAAAGTATTTCCATCTGAAATGGTGTTGCTCACCATGCAATGTGCGTTTTATTTTCATACACTTGTGTAATAAATTTCTTTTTAATATCTCCTGGGTGCCAGATTCTAAACAAAACACTGGAATTATAGAGATGAAGCAGATATAAATTAATTTCCTTGAAGACCTTAGAGTCTAATAAGGAAATCAACCATAAAAGAGGCAGGAAGCGGGGATGTAGAGATCAGTGGGCATGAAGGGAAAGGTGACATTTAGCTCCAGGCATGAGGGGTGGAGGTCACTAATATTGACCATCTATTGTGCGGTAGGTGCGGGACTGAGGGGCACATTTTTAATTGTTGGTTAATATGATTTCCAAATCACCACATAAAAATGTTATTATTGCTCTTAGGACCAGGAAATATAGATAGCAACCAGGGACTGAGCTTTTCCTGCTATACCCAAGTGTCTCTTTCAGGGAATGATAGGAAGAGAAAGGTGACTGGGTCGAAAGGATGGGCAAAATGGGATTGGGGTTCTGTAGGAAGAACCCAAAGAAGCATGCACCATGAAAGGAGCCCGGTGGGACAGGTGTATACAGCACTGGGAACATCAGAGGCAGAACTTAAAAAAAAAACATTCTTTTTTTAAGGTTTGGGAGCACAGGAAAGAGAGCAGTGAATCTGGGTACTCAGCTGCCTTTCTGTTTCCTAACTCTGGATGTAATGTGACCTCCCATGTCCCATCTCAGCACTGTGCCTCCCATGATGAGTTGGATCCCTCTCAAACAAGAGCCAAAGCAAACCTCTCTCCCTGCAGGTTGTTTCTTCTCAGCTACTTGGGTGACAGCAACAAGGTGTGTAACTAAGACAAGCTGGCCCACAGAACCTGTGGCCAGGTCGTCTTCAGATAAGACGCATCCTAAATAAATGACCTGGACACGTGTTCGTGCATCACATTCTGGAGACGAAGTCTGATGGTTGGGCACAAGGATGAGGAAGGCCCAGCCTGGGAACAGAGTACAGTTCTGCCTGCTGGGAAATGCACTGGACTGGGAAGCAGGAGATAGTGTCAGTCTCAACTCTGCCAGAGACTCTCTGTGAACCCGGACAAGCTCTTAACCCTCAAGGCCTCCGGATCTTTCATTGTGGAAGAAAGTTGTATCAGCTCCTCACTGCCCCAACGCTAGCACGCACCTGTCTGCCCCCAGAGACACCGATAACCACGGGATTCACCTCAGTATATGCTCCATGGATACCCATGATAAAGATCTTAGGAAAATAATACTTTGATGTTATATAAGCAAAGCACAGTGAAACAAAATGAAACATTTATGTTACTGGAGACCAAAACAGCTCTCAAAGATGCCCAGTGCATGTCACCTGCAGCTCATCTGTGGACGCGTTCCTGTCCTCTGTCATTCAGAACACACTGTTAGGTCAGTTTGGAGGTGTGGTGCCAGAAGAAAGGAGAGGCCACTTTCTGCTTTAAAACTCCCCATCTGATGAGATGGTGGCACTTGCCTATAATCCCAGCATTCCAGAGGCTTTTAGGCAGGAGGAGGATGAATCTGAGGCTAGCCTGGGCTATACAGAAGGAACCTATCTCAGAAACAAATGAAAGAAAACTCTCACCATGCTGCTAACCTGGTCTGGTCCCATTCCTCCCCCTGGAGAAAGGAAACAGCTGCCCCATCTCCTCTTCCCCAGCCTTTTTGAATACCAAATCCCACTTAAATAATGATCTTAGAGGCCTCCTGGAGGAGAGCGGCTGGGCCTGAAAAGAAGCATTTCTGGGCTTCCAAGTGTTCTTAGTGAAAGAGAGGAAGAGAAGAGAAAAGAGAGGGGAAGAAGAGGAAGGGCAGTGAGAAAATCTCTGAGGGTTATGTAAGGCCTGGAGGTTAGAAGAATGGACTTGGATGTGGGTCCTTCTAAAGCTTTGTGTCGTTATTCATCCCTCTCACTCCTGTCTTTTCCCCAGTGAAAATAAGCCAATAGAAGTAGAGCCAGATGCACACAAATCTCGAGGTGAGGGAAAAGGGGGCAGTGTGTGTGCCCAGGAGCCTGCCGTCCCAGCTGAGTCCCTCTGCCTCCCACCCTGGAGCCTCCTTCCCCGCTGGCCCTCCCATCCTCTAGCCCCAGCCTGACACCAAGGCCCTGGCCCAGGGAAGAATAGGCTTTTCTTCCCTTGTGTCAACGTTTGGAAAGTTCTCAGAGTTTGATCAGAAGGATAAAAGCCTTCAAAGCATTTCCTGGGAGTCTGTGACCTCCCCCTGGCCCTTCTGACCCCCCTCTGTGTTTTCCAGTCAAGAGTGGGAGGGACAAAGAGATGGGGCCATGTCAGATGTTCTCCCGTGTTTAGACACCATCACTGCCCGTCGGTGTGGGCTGACCAGGACCACTGGCCCTTCCTCCAGCTTGTTCCCCAGACATGCCTTTTGACCCCCTTCAGGAAGGGAAGCGCGTTCCTGCAGAGAACTCCAGAGGGTGACATCTCAGAGAACCCATTGTCCCTGGCTGGAGAGGGGGTATGACTGACTCTATGGTACATTGCCTCCTGTGTATCTGTCCTCTCAGACCCCCACATCACCTCCAGCATACTTCCTCCCTGAGTTGTGGTCCAGCCATGGTATCTGCTCTTAGCTGTTGTCTGGGACTACAGAACTGCACATCCTGAGCTCTTCAGTAAACTGGTCCTTTGTGAGGACTTGGCACTATGTAGAGTTCAACTGAGGACAGAGCTGTACCACTGTCTCCTCGTCAGCCTCAGCGTCAATGGTCCGGAGAGCCTCCAGACCTGGCCTCGTGTGAGTCTCAGA